TCCCTAAACCCCAAAGCCCTGAAGCCGCAGCAGCCGAAGCCCTACACCTGGGCCTCAGGTCATCTTAGGGGACCCAAACCTTGGAAAGGGATCAGACGAGAGTTGGGCCCTGAACGGGTTTAGGGTTTGGGGTTTAGGGTTAAGGAATTGGGGTTTAGGGTTTAGGGTTTAGGGTAGTTTATAGTTTAGGGTTTAGGGTTTCGGGTTTATTGAAGCATCGCAAGATAGACCCTTGAAGGTTGGGGAGCGGGGTGCAAGGCCCCCAAAACCGCAAACCCTACTTGGAGGTTCATGGGTGGCTATAAACGGGGTTATAAGTAGGGTACCGATACTTATAACCCATATTAGGGGACTTATAACCATACTTATAGCTACCTATGAACCTAAACCCTAAAACCCTAAACCCTAAACCCTAAACCCTAAACCCTAAACCCTAAAACCCTAAACCCTAAACCCTAAACCCTAAACCCTAAACCCTAAACCCAAACCCTCAACCCCAAACCCCAGACGGACGTGCAACTGAAGGATCCCACACTCGGTGCCGCAAAGCAGCGCCGCTCGCAGGAGCTCTGGTGTCTCACACACCTGGCTTAGGCTTCGGGGGTTTAGGGTTGAGGGTTTAGGGTTTCGGGCTTCGGGCTTCGGGTTTGGGGTTTAGGGTTTAGGGTTTAGGGTTTAGGGTTCAGGATTTAGGATTTAGGATTTAGGATAGGAAGACTTTAGGACTACCGTGCCTACTTCACAAAAAACCTAAACCTCGGGTGCTTTGCACGCCGGTACTTCCATCGGAACTGCGGGCTGCGGGCACGTGAAAGCTGAAACGCTCCTGTGATATAGATGGGATGGGATGGGATGGGATGAGATGGGAAGAGAAGGGTAATGTAAGGGCCTTAATTTATAATGAGAATAGGGTTTTGGGTTATGTTATACTTACCTATAATACGGAACCCCCACAAAATAGTATTGGTAATTATTTAGGCCCCTACATTAAAATGATTTGATGGCATTGATGACCAGAGAAGAAAAGGAGAGTGACACGGCGATGGCGGCTGCGGCATCCCTAAACCCTAAACCCTAAACCCGAACCCCTAAACCCTAAACCCTAAACCCGAGTCCCACCTGCCGGCTCGTCTTCGCCACCAGGTCAATGATACGGGCAGCACAGTCGGGCGCGTCCTCCCCCAGGGCCTCGCTGCTTTCAGGGCAGATTACACTTGAGTCTTTTCCCGGGGTCTAATGCAGTATTTAATGCGATATAGTATAATATAACATGATATACTATAATATAATAAAACACAATATAGTATAATAACTACACTATAATATGCTATAATATATTATAATATAAGAAAATACAACAACTATGATAAACAATAATAAAATAATACCTTAATACAACATAACATAATATAAGGAAATCGAATTATATATAATGTAATGTACTACAAAAACACAATACAATATGATATAGCAAAACAAAAGTACAATTATGATTATAGTAATGATAATATATAATAACACTAAGCGTACTACTAATAACAATAATAACAATGGCAATAATACAAGAATGTAAACATTGATATCAATATTAATATTAATTTGAATCATAATCTTAGCATAAATGTTAAAATTAATATTCATAATGATACGAAAACTAGTATTCATGTTAATATTAATATTGATACTACTACTAATACTAATATTACTGTTCATATTAAGGTTACTATTTATATTGATATTTATACTGATATAAGAGTATGAAACAATATAGTTCACTTGAGAGTCCGCCGGTTTAAGATCAAAAGGGTGTTGAAAGGACGGGCTCTAGATTAGGGTTCAGGGTAGGGTTCAGGGCTACCCTAAACCCTAAACTCCTAAACCCTAAACACTAAAATGAGAAAGCATAAGCACCAACCAGAAACACTAGACCATCAAGCCTAAATCCTACAAGAAAGGCCAAACCTTGAGCCCCAACTGCCTTGCTTGACCCGACCCAAACGCCGTAAACGACAGCCCCCAGCAGTGGTAGAATTGGGTCTTAAGGCTTTGGGTTTACTGTTTCAGGTTTGGGGTTTAGGGTCCGAAGCTTTGGGTTGAAGGCTTTAAGGCTTAAGGGCTTAAGGCTAGGGTTTAGGGTTTAGGG